CTCCGCATTGACGTGCCGTTGCATATTATCATCCTTCCCCCTGGGGAGTCTGCGAGTCAAAATCGTTCTCATCAACCTCGAGTTGCAGTACCTGAGAACTCCCAGGCAACCGAGGGAGGCACAAAATGTGGGCGGGCATAAAGTATCTCATTCCCCAAGGATGGAAAGGGTACTTCTAGACGATGTAGCCATGGCGCCCTGAGTGTTGCCACGGTTCCCGGGACTGAGCGGTTTTTTTTTCTTGGAGCATGTGGGGATCTGAGGGGTCACGACCCAAACTCAAAGCTGACTAATGTCGACCCATATTCATCAACCCCAGTTCATTAATAGGGTGTCCCTGGGTTTGATGGGGAATCAGACCACTTTTGGAGGGGCCAAGAACCACCCCGCGAATTTCAATAGACCGGGGTTGATCAACTATCTGGTTAACACTAAGGGCCAGACCAGTTTTGGAGGGGAACGCCGCTCTATGAATAAACCGGGGTTGACTAAGATGGGGTCAAAGTTTCGGGCTTGAGGGCCGGCTTCGATCCCCCGCCTCGGACTCACCTCTCATTCGCCCCTTGGAGGCTACAGCATGGCGCCCGATTCGATCGGCGCCGGGGGCGATCGGATTGCCCCCGCGCCGGAAGGAAGGGAGGAGCCCAGGAACCGCTGAACCGGCACAGGACCAAGAAAAAACCCACGTGGCTCAGTTTCCATAGAGGTTAGAACCACAACCACCTATCACCGCATCTGGAATGGGTGACATGGTGTGAGATGTTGGTGTATCGATGAGCTTTGCATCAAAACTGTGGCCGGACGGCCAGCAAAGGCTTCCTGACAGAATTGTTCGCCCAGATCTTCGGGAACTATCACAGATCACATGATTCGCCGTCTCTACGGGTCAAAGCTCAAAATGGCCAACCGCTTCTTCTGTCCTTTTCTCCACGCACTGGGTTCAAAATGCTTTCCACCTAAAGCCTGAAAGAAGAAAAACATGTGTGTCCAAGAGTTGCATGGGATGCTTGTTGCGTGCCACTTCTGTCGACGTCTCATCTTGAGCCATGGCTGAATCTGAGTTAAGGCATGGTGCTGGAAGATGAGGTGTCCAAGACCCAAATGGAATTCCCATCTTGATGACTTGAATGATTGTTGTCCTTTTGGTTTCCCTTTAAACCAACCCAAAAAGGGTCCCGGCGGCCCTACTTTTCCTGATACCCCCCACCCGCTTATAAACTCCATGACTGGGGTCTGCCACATAGAGTCAAAGGCTAGCCTCAATGCCAGAATCATAGCACTGGGAAAACTGCAACTCACAAAACCAGAAATAAGGAATCCCTACGCAGTTTCCTTCATGAGTTTGCTTTACCCCGAATCGGTGAGCTCATTCATTGGAAATGAACGAGCATGCCGTGTCGTGATAAACACATTCCAAAGGATTCCAAAGCAGCGAAACCAGCGTCACAACTCCGTATGGGTGAAAAGAAACCTGTTGCAAAGGTCGCAACTCGAATCGTTCCCAAGCCCAGTTTCAGGTAACCAGGGGGACCATGGCACTGGGAAAACTTCAACTCACAAAACCGGAAAAAGGTCGAATTGTTCCCAAGCCCAGTTCTTCCTATAGGTAACCAGGGGGAAACCATCATGTGAAAGCTAGAGGCAAAGACATATCTAGTTACCTGTAGTGCAATGCCTGGAAGCACGGGGAAGGGTTAAGCAAGGTGAGAACCAGAATACAGGCCTCCTTTTGCGGACAAGGACACGAAGGTAAATCCACCACCGCGGGTCCAATTGTACAAGACGTCCAAGTGTTGATCCTGGATAAATTTGGTGAGACTCACTGCACGCCCTCAGGGTTGTTCCGAAATTTGCAGGGTAGAACAATGGCTAAGAGAAATTCAAGGAAATCTAAGTACTTCCTACCCTGGCGGTACTGTGGATGGACGACACCCTTTTCGCACCACCTAAGAAACCCTGGAATGCTTCGATTCCCCTGCAAATACCAACAACCGTTGTGGTTTCAACCATGGTGTCATTTCGTGGTGCGGTTTCTGGATTTCGCATCCGTCCACAGTATCACACTCGGAGCAGCCACGAAGGTCGCCCCCGGAGCCCCTCGTTGGATTTCGCTTTCGCTTGCCGCGGTCAATGGGTCGATGGTCATCAGGTCACCAGGTCCCATGTTCGCACCTGGGACGATTTTGCCGCGAGAGAGCGATCCGTTCCCAGTGACATTTTGAACACCATTGAGTTTCAGCAGCCCTGAAAACAGCCCCACCCTTAAGTACACGACATTGTGGGGTTTCAAAATTCGAAGGATTGAAGCTAGTTTCGAATTCCGAGCCTTAAGTACACGGGGCCCTCCTTAAATCCGTAATTTTGAAAGCCGTTCTCGGTGACATCTGGGCGAATCACAGCGCTAACGCCGCCAGAAGTTGTTCTTTCCCCAGTCCCAAGTTCTGAGGCAGTCACCCCGTGTAACGACCGGTTTTGACTATGGCCCAAATCTGGGGTCCGCACAACATGTGAGGGTGAGACTCGTTTTTGATACTGCCCCAAGATGGTGTTAAAGAGCAAGTGAACCTTCACGCCATTGCTTTGGGGGCGGGGATTTGAAGACACACCCACTTTCAGATTATGGTCCATACGCTCAAATTAAGAAACAAACATGGCAGAGACCCCGGAAGCATGGTCCCAGGGCAAGCCACCTGCCTAATTTTGTAGGCTACAACGCCCCTTTTAAACAAATATGGGGTTGAGACCCACGCACGCACCAGAAAAAAATGAAGGAAGACGCGCCCATAGAAAGAAGCTAGGGGGTTGTGCGAAACTTCAAAGATTCAGGGCTAAGGCTTCTCCAGCGACGAGGGGTCCCTGGAACAAGAACCCTTGGGGTTTTTGAGACCGTTTCGCTTGGAGAAAGCAGGGTTTCACTTGACTTCCTGGGTTTTTGAAGTTCCCCGCCCCCAATGCTTCCAGTCACCAAAGTGGCCAAGGCAAACAAGCTGCGATTTATCATGGGCAAATCCCTGGTACTGTGAGCTTCGGACTAATCCGGAGGACACCAATCAGAGGAACCCCTGAGAAATCGGCCATTTCCTCACTAAAAAGGAACCTAGCCCTGAAAATTGTTTGGTCCTCCAGATTCATCAGTTGCACCTAGGGCACCCTTGCGGATAATGGTAACCCCAGCATGTCAGATTGATTTGAGAGATGGGAGTGTCCAATTCCCAGGGTTTATCCCTGGAGGGGACACTCACACTCAGGAAGGTTTATCCCTGGGGGGAAACTCACTTCCGTGGATGGGCCCAAAAACCGTCTGAGCGTTTCATTTACTCTTTTTGGTTCCTCCCAAAAGTTGTGACTCTTGGGTCCAACTCGGGGGTTACGCGCCCAACTCGTTGGGCTCTGCCTCGCTAGCTCCCGCCTGGGCGTTGGCGAAGCTCACCTCCCTGAGGCCCGGGCACTTGCTCCTGACGGCTGGAGAAAAAATAGTTTTGTGCTTGGTTAGTGGAAAACAAAGGGAACCCCCCCAACCAAAAAACAACGGGGAGCTAATTCAGGAAGACAATAGGCGGGATTTATCCATCCGGGCTCAACAGGAATCCGGATGCATTACACACCTGAACATTGCAACTTGTAAATTTGGTGGTTTTTTTGTGTCTTGGTGACGAAAAAGCCACATGTTTCAAACGGTTCCAACATGCAATTATCTTTTAAGGAGCCCTGTTCCACTGGACGAGCTCTTGATACCTTGTCAGGAAACTGACCCCTTCCCACCCTAGCCCCTCATTTCTTTTTTCCAGCCGGGGGGGGGGGGGGGGGGGGGGGAAAAAGTTGGGGGAGCTTCCAAAGATTGATCCCCCCGCAGGTTTGTTTCAGCCATCTGTGAGAGCTACCCGTGGCTTGGTGAAAGGCAAAAAGGCAAGCCACGCGGGGCTTCGTTGTTCTCGGATCCAAAAGGAAACACCGCCCAAGTGTTCGTTGTGTTTAGGCGAGCCAGGCTCCACAAACGAGCAAACCACATGGCAGTTCGTTGTTTGGGTACGCTTTGAGTGGTTTCAAGGAAATCCAGACGGGAAAGCCAATTTTGGAGTCCCCCTATTGTGACACCGTGCTCACTTAGGAAACGGCCACATGGACGGGCAGCTGGGCAGCTGCGCACGGCTCACTTTCCCGGGTTTGGTTTGCTTTTTCTGGGTGTCCTTCCATGTCCCTTTGCACCTCCAAAAGTGGCGGTTTCGAAGGACACCACCAAAAAAAAAACATGCAACCATTGGACACAAAATCCTGTGACCCCTGCGTGACATTCTTCTTTTCTTCCCTTTGGACCTCTAAAAGTGGCTGTTTCACTTGTTATCCCATGCCAACTGTCTAACTAGCGACCTGGCAAAGGCTTCTTCGCTTCCGTGCTGCATCAACGACCGTGCCGAATTGGAGCAAACGGGTGCCGAATTGGAGCCAGGGTGCTTCTCGAACATCCCTCGGTTCGCGAGGGAGAGCCTTCCAATCATATCTCTAGCGCTACCTTGCCCATTCTTTCCAGGGTTCCGAATCTTTCTAGAAAACCTCCGGAAACCCAGGGAAACGGCCGGCTTTTCGAAAAGAACGATGGTTGGAAAGAATGGGGAATCAACCCTTAGAATATTGCATCAAACACTGTGCTGTGGCTTGATGCGGTCAGGGCCTGGAATTTGCAGGTGTTGTTTCGAAAGCGAGTGTACCCCGAACACCCCAACCACCCCACACCTGAAGCCAGAACTCCTAAACCTAGAATCCAGCAGCAGAATATGAGGCATCCTCAAGTCTGCATCTATGAATACATACTACACAAACTATCAGCTGAGTTCCAAAATCAAAACCTGGTACTTGAGGCCCTATTCAAAACCCATGTTTATGTTACCTGTATCTCTTTCTTCGCCATTAGGTGACCCGCTTCCTCCCTACCCGTGGCAACAAAGCCGCGCTGAACGTCTCCCGGTTCACCACCCGTTCTTCCGATGCGCTATCGTATCTCCACGCAGAAAACCAGGGAACGCCAAGTGAAATTTCCATTGAGCAATTGCCTGCTTGCTGCTTGTTCAAAAGAAAACGGGTCGAATGTGTAGAAAGATTGGTGGTTTGCAACTGGGATATATGGATATGACTTGCCTCCAACATTCCGCCCTTCCGCGTATACTGTTCTCCTGCAACACACGGTTGCTCCAAGTGTCACGAGGGTGGGGCATTGGCCCATGAATCCAAACCGAGGAAGCCGTGTTTCCCCCATGTTCTACCTGTCCTTTGACGGAACGGCTGACAGCAACCCTGCTTCAACAACCCCGCATACCGGTATCCCGAGATCCTGAAACAAACCAAAGCGGCCCTCAAACAAAAGGAGGCCTGATGGTAGCTTCCCCAACCCACCATCCATATCTCCAAGTCTGCTCGGAGCCACGCCCAGATCCAGTTCTCACAAAACCGACGCGTCTTCGCCTCCGGTGGCCTCCGAAGACCAAGAAACCCGGTCCTGATCTGCATCAGGAGCTCTTTCACCTGCAGATGGCAGTCCTCCTGCGCGACATGGGCGTGTTGTTCTTCTTTTTTTGTGGCTTTTGGGGTTGGCTGAAGGCGAAAGCAGCTGGAAAACGGCCCCTGTGAAGTCCCGGCCCAAAAAAAAGAAGAAGGGGGGGCCCAAGGACCAGCACCAAAAAGGCACCCCGGATCGAAGTAGAACCCTAGGTGGGTGCCAAGAGTGAGAAATCCGGATTCATGAAGAAAACCGGATCCGGTCAGAAGCAAACCGAAGTCTCTTCGTCCGTGACGGAGCACCTGGAACTTGGGCCAAGAGGTGACTCTAGACTCGGATTGATTCCCAACAAATTGAGAGATCCGACCCTGCAAGGTAGCTTCTTGCTTCCTGCATTGCAATGCTCCGTTAGCCAGCTAAAAGCGAACGAGCGGGGGAAGTGAGAAAATGGATGATGCCCCAATGCGCACTGTACTTCTTGCTGGCTGAAAGGGAACATGAAGAAACTTCATCTCAAGGGGGAATGCACCCAGGAATCAAAAAGACATGTTATTCTTTCGAGAAGAAGCTTCCAAATAGTCTGACTCCGAAACAGGCACCATAAACCCAGGATGAAAGGGCTGTTTTGGAAGCAACAATATTCGCCATGGAGTTCATCATGAGGGGTGCATGAATCATCTACTATAAGTGGGAGCCACAGCGCAACCTTGATTCACCATCCTCGCTTACTACGAGCTTCATCGGATCGATTTTAATGGGCAACCATTCTAGGGGTTGCTTCCCCCTCCTTTTCAACCATCGTTCTTTTCGCAAACCAGCCCTTTTCCCCGGGTTTCTGGAGGTTTTCTAGAAAGAAGGATCCCTGGAAAGAATGGGGGAGGTACCGATAGAACCATGCTGAAACATTTGTGCGAAATATGGCCTTTCGAATGGGTGCCTTAGAGTCCCGATGCGCTTCTGTGATGAGAGCATGCCAAGGAGGGAGCAGGCAGGATGTTGCTGAAGATGCGACCGGATCCGCCTGGTGCTCTGTTTACAGCATGGCCTGTGCTCGGAGGATTGGTGTCAGGCAAATGACATCGAGAGATGTGCCGGAGGCGAGCACGGAGGCGAGTGCTGGACCTTTCGAGGATTTTCCGGACGGCCTGAAGCAGGGCGCTGGGACATGGAATCCACGGAGCCGTGATACAGCAGAAAGGGCTTAACCCGGAAGACCAACCCCGAAAGGGGCAGATTCCAGAAAAAAAGTTATCACAAGCTAGGGGGCAAAATCCCCTTGTGATGAACAACAACCCTGTGAGGGAACTCATGTACCCTCCCAACAATTCACGTGGCGCCTGACGTTTCGGGCTCCCTTACGGACGTTTCCGGCCGAAGCCCGTAGGTCCCACGTTCAAACCGGCAGCTCGCCTTCTGCGCGTCGGGCAAGTGCAGCTCGCGGAGCATCGGGAGGTCCTGGCTTGAGCCAGCGGGCTGCGAAGCCCCAGAGACAAACATCCTATCCTTGGGATAAAACCTGGGCCCCCAAAAGTCGGGGCTCAACAACTTTTTTTACTTGGGCCCCCAAAAGTCGGGGCTCAACATTTTGTTTTTTAGCCCTAAAACGGCATACCCTCAAAAAGCACCCACACGAATGTGTGTTTCTCAAATTTAGGGACCCACAGTGGTTGGTGTCTTTCGGGTTTCCCCGTAATTGACCATCTCTTTTGCAAACCAATGTTTTGTTGGACACCCAAACACCGGGAAACCATTTTGGTGAATCGCGTGCTATAAAAAACTTGCTGGTTTTCAGCAGGCAATGAGGGAATGCCCCCTATAAACCATCCCCCGTCTTAGTATCTTCCGTTTGAAAAAGGAAACACGCATTTCCAGTAGCAATAGATTCCCTTTCAAACCAACAGGGAGAAACAACATATATTAATTTCAGCAAATCTCGGTTGCTTTCTGCTCCCCTGCTAAAAGCTGCTCACTTTTAGTGGCTTAATACGGGAAACCGATTCATTCGTTGGCAAAAAAGTGCTTCAGTCCTAACATCCCTTGGCAAAATTTGCACCAAAGAAAACACTACCTACTGGGCTCGTCTTCATGGCTGGTGCCCTGTTTGGGGAGCAACCAAAACACGGATCCTTACATACACCTGAACAGTGCAACTTGTAAATTTGGTGGGTTTCCAACTTTATTTTGGTCTTGAAAAAGCAACATGTGTCAAATGGGCCGACAAAATGCACCAAAGAAATGGAAGCCATGGTGTTCTTTCTCTCGGGAATCCATTCCCATGGCTCCAATCGAAGCAACGGCGCGAGAGCTCCAAAAAAATCCGTGCCGTAGCTGGATTTCCCTGGCGGGAAAAATCAATCCATGGCCCGAAATGAAAATCAACGGGTCCCATCTAAACCAGGAATCGCCCAACCTATGCTTTAGTTGCAAACCAAAAAAGGACACTAGGTCCTCCAGTAGAGAGGTTGGAAGAAGGGTACCCGATGCTTTTCTCATGTTTTTTTTTCTATTTTAGCAGGGTTGAACTCTCCCAACCAAAAAAGACACGGAAAAAGGGCACCGATTGGTGGGGGCCTAGTTCCTGAATCCCCACCAACCCCCCCCCCCAAAAAACAAACAAACTAGCAAACAACCTGGGGTTGATTCAATCTGGGTTTAAGGGCGTCCCCTAGCTGGGAAACCCTCCCAACCGAAAAAAGAAACGGAAAACGGAGGGAAAAAGGGCACCGATTGCTGGGGGACCTAAGACACGCTACCAGCTCCTTGAGCATCAAAGCCACCGCCGGCAGCTGGATGCCCGCGAAGCCATAGACCTCTCGGTGGCTGTCTGGTTTTTCTACGAGAAAAGCTTAGTTTTTGTTTTTTGGTGGTTTAGCTTTTAGTGGCTTAGCTTTTAGTGGTTTAACTTTCTAGTTGGCAAAAAGTTCACCAAAGTGGTGGGGGAGAATTTGGGAAGGGTTAAAGCTAAAGTGCTAACATCACTTGGCAAAATGCACCAAAGGACACTGGAGCGCGGCACGCCTGGTAGGGATGCGATGTGTGATAGAAGATGGTCAAACACACTGTAGCAAACTGGGGGGGGGGTTAGATATAACCACCCGTTTGCTTTCGCCTAAGGATTGTCAAAATCTCAATTGGGCCAACCCTCCTTTTAATGGCGGTTGAACCCTAGGGCAGAATGTTGGAACTCAGTAGGGACCCCCAACCACCACTTTTTGGGCCAATAACAATGGGCACCCAAAAAGGGGAAACCAAAAGGCCAAAAGCTCAGCCTTCGAACGTCGGCTGATGAGGGAAGGTTGGGCGAACCCGTGTTTTAGACTTGGAAATCTAAAACCGCATTTAAATCTGCTTTGCTACTATCATCACAGATCAGTGTAAAGATGTAAGATGAAACCAAACTTTGACCAGCGAACACCTCCAAAACACGATTGTTTAAACAACCTTCAAAGGCTTTTTTTATGAGTCACGCCAACTTTGGAGTTGACTTACCCCCGAATGGACTTTGCCCTATCTTTTGGCTTACCCTTCGGTATGTTCCAGAAAGCTGGGGGTGCAACCTTCCCCTTTCTCGGGCCCCAGATTCTCGCGCAAAGCCCCCAGCTTGCAGCTCTGGATTTCACGGCGCAGTTTTTAACTTTTGGTTCGCCAGGAGAAAGGGGTCCCTTTGGGATGGTTGAAGAGGCAAAGGAAACCAACCGCCTGAAATTCTGAATTCTGAGGAGCAAACAATTGTTGAAAGTTGAAGTGATTTCACCGCAAGTTTGACTGGCTTTTGTTGGTTCACCGATTCCGAACCTAGAACTCAAACTGGTTCCACGTGCCGAAGCAAGCTCGAAGTTCAACTGCGAAAAATATCGCCGATGTTCCTTTTTGAACAGATGTGAAAGACCCCATCGGGACATGTCCTCCAAGCCCGATAAACCTCGCGGGTGAAGTAATCTGCGCGAATTGCAACAAGTGATACTAACCTGAATAAAGGTTTCTTCTTTTGAGGGCGCCACCTGTTGGTATTTGTTTTGCGGGACAAACGGGAAAACTGGGTTGCACTCCTAGTTTAAGATACTCAATTGAGTGGAATATATACCGGGAGATGCCGACACTTTCGTTGTGGAGCTGGTTTTACACGCATCAAACCAGTGCCCAGGCGGACTGCGCTTCGTGAGCTTCCCGAACCATTGAACGCCTCACCAGTTTGCGCCACTTGACACAGACATACACAGACCTCCGTAGTGCAAAATGGGATTGAAACTGCTGAGAGGCTCCAAAAAGGGAAATGGAGGTTGAACCTGGTTCAAGGGACCCCTTCAAACAAATAAACGGTTTCGGTTGATTCATCCGGAGTCGGTCTTGTCTTTCAGCTCTACGCAACTGCAACCTGCCAGATACTCAGCTCTGCACCACAGCTCGAAGGTACTTTGCCCCCTCTTCCCCCTGCGCGCCATGCGTTGGATGAAACCAAGCCACGGAGTCCCCAGTTCTTTCATTTGCCCTACAGAGGACTTGGGATGGTTTTGGTATATATTTGGGTCAGGGTGCCCTTCTTGGGTTCGTTCAAGGAAAGCCACAAGGAACCAGGACCCCCACCATTTTGGGGGCCCACTAAAAGAAGACACGCCCGTCTCAAGACCTGTGAGGGTTTACGGTCAAAAGAGATCAAAGGGAGAGGCGGGAGAAACGATGAGAAGGGTTACCAGTCCTTGCACTCGCTCACTCATTTGATTGGTGTGTGCCAGTCGCTTCTTTCCCTTGACAGACAATGAGATCTTGGATCTCCCCGCCGACCAAACGCATTATCATAAAGATAACTTCCAGGGTTATTTGTTGCCTGTGTTGGGTCAATGATACAGAGGAGAGAATGAATGAAAGGAATGGATTCTTGACTCGTCTTTATGCGAGTGCCCAAGAGTCTGTCCAGAGAAAGCGCTAAAACCAGACCTCATGCCCATCTGGATTCTCTTGACAGCACTCACATATACATCCTGTCGATTACTCACTTTCTCCTCCAGCCTACTCTTCATTTCCTGGTCATCAGACATTACGATCGGCCTGAGATAAGAGATGCCACCGTTTGTCCCCGCGCTCACGGCCTCGCTCGGAAAACACCCTGCCGGTGTTTTTGGGCGACCGCGTATATAGCCGGGCTTGGGCCACGGTTGGAAGGGAATCGGATGAAGCCTGGCCACTCCTCTGACTCCTTCAGTGTAGCCTTCCGGATCCGGAACAAAAGGAGGCAACTCTTCGGCTCCAAATCCGATTTCTTGAGACCTCACTGCCTGAGCGGATGGCCCAAAAAAAGTCTAAACTTTGACTTTACCACCAAACTGGTCTTCCCAAAAAATTTGAAGTTCATGAACTCAGGAAGTGAGAGACAGGCTCACATCCCAAAGTCCGCGAATGTCGTTGTTGGCGTTTTCTTCTATGAGCATGTCCCTTCCCCCGTCACTCTTGGCCTGAGTCACAATGGCGGGTGAATAGACGAGAGAATGGAAAGAGATAGGATTCCCCACCGCTCGTTTGCTCGCTTCTTCCTCGCTTCTTCCTCGCTTCTTACGCAATCCGCAAGATCTCCTGCCAGAGGCAGTGGGACTATAGTGAGATGAGTGACGCGGTCCGTTCCTTCTCATCTTCTCCCACCGTTTTCAAGTTAAAGGTAAGCTCTCTCTCGCTCTCTGTCTCTCTCTCCCAGAAGGTCCCAAGAGGAAACTGGACTTTCAGCCCTCCCGCAGCTTGATTATTGGGTTGGATCTTTAGACTTTGATTGAAATCCAAAGCTAAAGTTTGTGCAGAGGGGTGTGTGGATGAAAGGTAGTTGCCGGTGGAAACAGACTGTCTCCTTCTCTTTCTCTCTCTTTCTCTGTCTCCCTCACATTCGCTTGGATCGTTCGCAAGCACGAGAGCGAGGGAGAAGAAGCAAGAAGGAAGAAAGAGATGGCCATTCTCTCCGTTTGTTCTCCATGACATGCTTCTTCAGTCGCCCGGTTTTTTCCGAATCAGAATGCAATCAGTGATAGCTGGGATGAGGGAGATGAAAGGAAGGAATGGCTATCTCTCTGTCGTCTATTCCCCCGTCATTTGTTGCTTTAGAGACAAAGGGAGGGAGGGAGGGAGGGAGGGAGGGAGGGAGGGAGGGAGGGAGGGAGGGAGGGAGGGAGGGAGGGAGGGAGGGAGGGAAAAAAAAGAAGAAAAAAAAGAGAGACAAGGAGAGAGAGCGAGAGAGAGAGAGCGAGACAGAGAAAGAGAAAGAGAGACAAGGAGAGAGAGCGAGAGAGAGAGAGAAAGAGAAAGAGAGAAAGAGAGAAAGAGAGAAAGGAGAGAAGGAAATGGTGAAGAACAAAGTCATTCCTGTAGAACTGGCAATCGTACAGCCCCTGGTCTTCTTGCGGCTTGTGGGAAGGAGGGTAAACTTCTGCATTGCTTCCCGGCTGTCTCTATTCTAGGGGTTGATTCCTTTTCCATTCTTTTCAACCATCCTTCTTTCCAAAAAACGATCCGTTTCCCTGAGTTTTTGGATGGTTTCCTGAAAAGATCCGGATCCCTGGAAAGATGGCGTTTGATGGCTTTTGATGGTTTTGATGGCTTTTGATGGTTTTTGATGGTTTTTGATGGTTTTTGATGGTTTTTGATGGTTTTTGATGGGTTTCCTGAAAGAATGGAAACGGAAGCTACACCCAGATCTCTCGCTTCCTTCGCCCCCAAACATGTGTCGAGCCTTGGCGAAGCGGTGGAGCTCCGCCTCCGAGAGGCGCTCGTCCAGGAGGTCGATGACGCGGGTCTGGCAGATGTCCTCCACCTGGGAACCATCTGGCTGTGGCTCAACTCAGTTCAGTGACCCTGGAAAAAAAGGGGAACCCTTTTTTGGGGCTTGGACCATTTTTAGTGGGGCAGCCACTAAAAAAAAGGGAACAAGAATTGGGGCCACTGAGTCAGAATAGGGGCCCAAAATGGCACCCTGGTACACTAAAACACCTGCTCGCGTTGACGAGCGCAGTTGATGGGTTGATCTTTCCACTTGTTTGGGCTGAAATGCTTGTTGATGCTTTGCTTCCCTGGCTAAAAGTGACTAACTTTTAGTGGGTTAAATTTGGAAACTACCACTAAATCCTAAAAAGCTGAAAGGCTAGGGGGGACGGCTGGGAGCCAGCAAGGATGGGTTGATTCATGTTTCGTAGTTCACCCGCTTGGGCTGAAAATCATGAGAGGCCGAAAAAGAGAGGATGTCTGCCCCTGAAGTTGAACATCAGGTTTGGACTCTTGCGCATAAAAGACTCTCAGAGCACGGAAAAACCAGGGCAACCCCTGGCAGACTTTGAGTAGCTAAAGGAAGTTACAGCCCTTTCTGGAGAAAAGCCAAACCGCGCCAAATCTTTGGCAGAGCAGTCCATTGAAACAAATGCACGTTGGGCGCTGGCCCAACGTGCTTTTCTTGTGCTAACGTGGAAGAGTTACGAATCTAGGAAAAACCGACGAGGGATACAGCCTTTGCGCCCGCAAAGAAAAGATGTGTGTGGCAGGGGGGGGGAAGGCCCCGTTCTTTTGGGAATTGCCTTCCATGCGTTAAGGGGGTTGGCTTCTTTGAAAGATGTGAAGGCCACTTTTGGAGCCGGACACCGATGCATGTTTGGAAGGGTCTCTTGGGGCATCCCCAGGAATGCGGCAACATGTCGGCTGACTTTGGGAGGGTGATGACCATCCCCACCTCCCTACAGTTGGGGGTGTTTTGACCATGCAACAGGGGTTCTTACACCATCCTAAACATCACCCCCCCCCCCCCCCCCCCCCCAGCCGGTTTCCTGTTGGGCTTGGCGGGAAAGGTACTGTTCTGAACGGCCATTTGCAGAAATTTGAACTTTTTGTTGAAGGGTTTGGCTCTACCTTACCAGGGAAATCTTTCTTTTCGTATTTCTGAGCCCTCCACTTAAATGGGATGTTTCCCAAAACCGGGCTTCAACTATCTAGGTTTGTATGGGCTTCAATTGTTTACGTCTTTTCGGGTAATATGTCAAACCCGCCTTGGGCCCCGACACCCGTGACACCCGTGACACCCGTGACACCCGTGACACCCGTGACACCCGTGGCCAGTCGATCGATCCAGCGAGCGCCTTGACGTGCCAGGCTCGGCAGGACTCCGGGCGCGGGCAGCTCTCGCCGCCCCTGCCGACGGGCTTTTTCCTTTTTCGCTAAAAGTAGTGGGGCAGCCACTAAGAAAAAGTTGGACAAATCATTGGTGCCACTGAAGAACTGAGAACTTTTTTTTGCTTCTTCGTGGGTTAAATGGAAGCTACCACTGAACACTAGGCTAAAAGGCTAGGGTCTAGGGATCCAAGTCTTCCTCGAAAACCTCCGGAAACCCGATCGGGAAAACGGATCCGGCTTTTGAAGAAAGAACGATCGAAAAGAATGGAACAGGAAGCAACCCCTAAAAAAATTGTGTGGAGAATCCTAGAGAATCCTAGAGATTTGTGGAGAATCCTAGAGAATCCCAGCGTTTCCCCTGACTTCAACTCTTCAATGCGCGGCGTTCCGAACCGGGCTGGGTCACGTCAAAAACCAAACGGCGGCAGCTCAAGACCGAGATGCCCAGACCTCGCGGCAACGACCCTGCAAAAAGGCGAACCTGCTGCTTCAAGAGAAGGAGACCGTCGGTTTCCAGCGTCAACTACGCTTCCTGCCACTAACGTGGCATCCCTCTGCAAAAAAGGTTTTTAACTTTTTGGAGAACCCATTGCTTTCGCAAAAAGAGCTACAACCCAACAGCAAGCAAGTAAAGGGGCGATCGGGTACTTAGTATGTCGTTAGCACGCGTGGTCATAACCCATTCAGTGGATTATAACCAGGCTCACTAAGCACTTACCAAGTACCCGATCGCCCCTTTAAGTTGTCCAGCTCCTGTAACGTTGGTGGCTTTTAAGCACAAACAAAAAGCAGGTGGATTCAAAGAATGCAAATGGCTCATTCAATGCCCCCTTCTATTCAAAACCTCCCACTGTTCCGGCTTGGAATCTGAGCAATGGTGTTAGGGGTCTATCCAGCAGGATCCCCCTTTTCGCAGATCTTGTACATGATGACAATTCTAAACTGTCCCGTTGGATCTGCTAAAAGTTCAACTTGTGGTCTAATGGAAGCTACCGAAAGACATAAAAGCTTGAGGGAATGGCTGGCAACCACCAAGAAAAGCAAAGAGGTCCGTTTTCGGACCAACATTGGACACTGAGGGCAGTGGTGTTGTAGTCGACCTCCCTTGCTCGCATAAATTTCAAATGTTTCGGCTGGAGTTCAAGTTGCCTGACAAGCTCAAAGCTGAACCTTCCGGCAAAAGTTCCGCATATTCACAAACTGGACATCGGCAACCTCAAAAACACAGATGCATGGGTGTGTCGTCCTGCCCTCGTTCAGTGCTTTAGTTCTGATGTGTGCAAGATGGAATCCTCATGTAAAATGTTTGGCAAGTTCTAATCATTCGCCGGCCAAACAGATGGGGAAAACAGCGACCATAAGGGACCTTCATCATGGGGCCGGCCCTTTTGTGAGATCGGAGTTGTCCCGTTGAAGTAGGCCTATCCGGTGAGTCCCGTTTGAGTCCTGCTTGAGTTCTCCTTCGCTTGGGTAGCCGCTGGATGCTCAGCATCCAACGGGCCCGAAACGACCGAAGCGCTTGATTTTCTAGCTACTTGCCCAACCATAGTTTGGCATCTATGCGATCCTTTCCCGTTCTCACCGATCTCCCAGTTGTCATTGAAGTTGCAGCATAAGAAACTGGGCTCAACATTGAGGTCCCGCCCCCGATGCCCCGAACTCCAAATAGGCCACAAGCTGCTGGAAGTTGTGACCGAAGCTCATGCAAGGTCTGTTGAAGCCCCTGACATCCAAAAAAACAAGTTGGTCATTTGTTGTTTTCGTTTTGCTTATTCGGACATCCATAATCAACCTGTACATTCCCCCAGTTTCCAATCGACCTCACATGCGGTCCTTTCTCCCCAAAAACGCCGAGTCCTGCAACGCCACTCTTGCGGGGAGTGCCACTTGATGCAAGAGAAGTCCTCGCTGACTGGCCGGCACATGGGAAACCTCCTGTTTGCTCGTTCCCTCGTTGCTCTGTGGCAAAACAAAAATGACCCCTGCTCGTTTGCTCATGAACCAGCCAACACTGACCAATTCATTGACCAGGCCCCGTGACGAGCGCAAAAAGGAAAAGACCCTCCCCCCCCCCTCCTGGAGGGAGCCTGGAAATGAGAACTGTAGACATATTGTGTAAAACATGCATAGGAGCAAACTTCACGCGGAAACAGCGGGCCCCTGCTTGCGGCTGTAGCCTTTCTGTAAATTGATTCAAAGGCACATTGGTCAAGTCTGTGAGGGGCCTGGGGACACAACCCATGTTAATAACCTCCACTTGTTGCGTGACTTGGTGTCTCCCAATAGGGAGCCCATTTCAATGAGATTCGGTTTCCTTTGGATTTCCCTCATCAAGAGAGGGGCATCTCATTTTAGAGGAAACAGGCCATTTGGTTGGGTCCCATGGCCAATGTGGTCTTGGGCGATTTCTGCGCTCTAAGACAAAACCGAAAGGGTGGCTCGTCTTTTTTTGCCGGGGGCCCTTTGTGGATGGCCTTTCAACGGAAACCAACATAGGCATCCATTGTTGGGGTCCCCAAAAAACACACACGCCCACAAAGCTCAATTTCTTCTTGGGAAGGTCACTCTGCATGGATCACATCCAGCGGCTTCCAGAAGAAACTTTGGAAGTTCCTCCTAAGCAACACGAGTTTCCTTCAGGTCGCAGCTTGCTGTGCGACCACATGTTGGTTAGAAGGACCGGAACCTCTCGGCCGCCTTAAACGTGTTGAAGCCCTTCAAATGCCCCAAAATCTTGATTCCCTACCATAGCGATCATTTACCTGGTTTCTGAACCCAGGGTTCCAAGCTCCTGCATCGGATCCAACGGCATGAGCTTGGGCAAAATATCGAAACGGATCAAGAAAAGAGAACACGTCTCTCTTGAGTGGATTGGTCCAAGGCAACCAGACTCTTGGCGTACCACAATGGTCTGCCCTTTGATGTGCAGCCCGCCTGGGAAAGCTCTGCCCTTGATTCGCTTGCCCCCAGAAACCTGAAGATAACATGTGATCACCTTTCGTAACCTCTTGGGTGCATTGCCCCAAAAAGGTATATAAAGTCCAGCATCTCTTGCGTGTGTGGGTCGTTGGGTTACTTGGGCCCAGCCCACGGGCGTGACCACGGCAAGCAGAAAAAACCCTCGAGAGTGAGACCTTGACTACGGATCAACTGCCCAGCTCTTCCCCGCCGGGATCCCGGCTCTGCATTGAGGATTCGGGCACTGCTCTTCCTTCCATCCTGGATTATGTTTTTCTGGAAAAGCCAAAGCTTTGCAATGGTCCCAACATAGAGTTGGACTGAGGGGGGGAAAAAACAACGAAAAACAAAAACGAGGAACACGAAAAAACCTAGAGTTTACACACCAAGCAGGAGCTGTCAGGCTTGGTCAGGTGAGCCGAGATTAGATTCCTTTTTTTGCCGGCGGCCTTTTGCCGTGCTACTTGGGCAAAGCTATGGGGCTGGATTTTTCAGGCTCAGTACGGGGGTTGGTTGAAAAGAAAGGAGGGGGAACTTATACAAGGAGTTACATAAAGGAGGGGTTTTTTGAGACGTTATATAAAGGAGTCCAAGGTTTGTACCCTCCAAAAGGAAGCCGACCCTTTTTTCGGGGCCCAAGCCCTATTTTGCGACAACAGTGGCCACTGAAGAGTGTTTGAAGGGAAGCAATGGTCGTCGGACTTTATTTCCTGGCGGAACTGTGACGCATAAAAGTGTTGACCATGGCACAAATGCCAGCAACAACGGATTTTCCCATGTCCAACCAATATGCCGTGGTTGGTGCTTTTTTGAGAGACCCCCCGAAAGCCTGCTGGTCAAAGGGTACCATCCAAAGAAGGAACCACACCCAAATATCTCAGGGAGTTTGGACCATGCGCGAATTAGAATAGCTCGGCCCAAGAGGGTGGGAGAAAGGAGCCCTGGGAACTTCCGAGGCTGGCGAAAAAAAAAGGTCAAAATTGCAGCAAGTGAACAGGGGCTCGGGATGCAACAAACATGCGAGCGTGATGAGAAGACTTCATCTGACATAATTATGACCCTTCAACCAAAATTGCTCAGGTGGTCTCGGCCTCAATGTAATCCTGTGGGTAGAAGCCTTCTGGGGGAAGCAATGAAAGGGAAGCACTTCACATCATGAGGTTGCAAATCCCAGGCCCAAACTCATTGGCCAAACTGGCACAATTCCCAAACCGGAAATAAGGGAATCCCCAAAATTATTGCTACAGGACCTCCATCCTGGGTGAGCTTGTTGAGCTACTCGTACAACGATCCACAGGAGCCCCAAGCAAGCGACGTGATTTGTGCTTCCGAAAAGTGGGAGACCGTCTTTAGCTAGTTGCCAACAGAAACGCACACCACATTTTGTGCGGTTCCCGAGCCCATTTAGCACATCCCTGCTTGCTCGCCCCTTTCCGGACGTTCGCTCGGAAGGGTCTCTCTAATTTTCCACCAAAGGTGAAGGCTCTTCTAACATGGGTACGACCCTTAACCTCCATTAAAACCAACAGGGGAAATATAAGATATTATTAAGCAGGCGTTTGATACAGCTTGGGTCAGCATCGATGGTGGCAATCTCATAAACCGGAAAAGCCTTGCGAGGTTTTGATCTGCATCCTCAAAAGAGCTTCACCTTGGCGCCCGGAATCGCTCGTTTCACCCCGCGTAAACTGGTTCTAATTGGGCAATCACTTCACACTGACATCTCATCCAGACCATGGTCACAAGAACCCGCCCAAGATGAATAGGAACTCCGTACTCAGAGAGTCTCCAAATGAACATGAGCTTTAAAGGGGGTTGCCACTCGGCAGTCCGCGGGATTGATTGCAACTTCGTCTGATTCCAAGAGCACGGATCGGCTTTTCGCCCTTGCGAGCTGGGGTCCGAGAAACGAATACCTCCCGAGCATTGAACTATGCAACACCAGTGTTTGCAGGTCAAGAAACAAAATGGTGGGTAACACCTAACCACAAACAGCGGCAAAAGTCGAAAGATCCAAACAAGCATGTAACCAACAACCATCATGTAGAGGTAGAGCACACTGTCGTCCAGTGGCCAGGAGAAACCAAAAGGGCTGTGCCCATTCTTGGTACGGACACACACACACACACGACTCCAAAGCAAGCAAAGATAAACAATGCAGTTGGAGGAGTCACTGGGATGGACACCAGAAATGGGTATGTCTACGGAGTGGCGAGTTGAAAACACCGGTTGCAAACCCCCGCCCTCCTGCAGGAGGCGGGTTGCAGGGTGGGAGCTCCGGCCGGGCGCGGGCGCTCCGGGCGCTCTGGCAGCGGGCGTCGCCGCCTCGCGGGTGCACTAAAGTGTCACCCGAAACTTCCATTTGGCTGTGGGTCAAAACCAATGGTATTATTTTGGGGTAGGTGCACCACCCAGTTTAGACCTATTTTAGTGGAGATTGGGATGTTCACTGGGGGTCCGATTTGGATTTTGACCCATGGCCATTTGGCTGTGGCTCCAAGACATGAATCAAAATGGTGCCTTGGGTCAAAACCCTGTACCCCTGGTGAACATCAAAATTGGTGGCAAATGGATGCTCATCCACCCCAAAATGGAGCCATAGGTTATGCCGTTATGCCCCATGGCCAAATGGCACCTGGGGTCCATTCCCCAACAACCAAACTTGGGTAACCCTAGCCATTCAACTTTGAGCCGCACCCATTTGCGAATACGTCCGGAAAAAGTGAGAACTTAGGCATATGAAAGCGGGAAGGCATAGCGGATCCCGGACTCTCTTTTGGTTGGTTCTCTTGCCAAGCCAGAGAGACGCCCAAGCACTGGCCGTGTTGCTTCATCCAACTTTCACCCCACCAAACTCCAAAAAGGTTAGCGTGCGTTAACTTTTAGAGAACACCACCATCTTTCTTCGTTGCGTTTCCGGGGCAAGGGGGGAGGGGGTTCCTAGTTTTAAGACAAACCACATACCCGTCTGAGGTTCTATTTCGTAAAGCTGGGGACCCCGCGAAGAGGGTTTATCTTTGCTTCCTTTTCACAGTTGCCCAGTGACCTGCATGGTTGAACAATGAGACGCTTGTGGTTGACCAGAGCGGGGACACATCATCCTAACCGAGTGGTGCTGCGCCAATTTAGTTTGAAGTTCGGCGGTGGTCAAGCAAACCAAAACTCCCTCCGCCCGATGCATCAAGATCAAGCCAATGCAGTTTGGCGGGCTCACCAGTAGGTTTTACTCGCTCTGAAACTAGGGTGTAAGATGTTTCTGCCATCTTGGCATGTAGTCGCGGACTAAGGTGCAAGATAAACAATGTTGATCTAAAGGCGCCCACTACTACCTGAAGGCCCGCGTAACCATGCTTCCAATGCTACTATGAGACCTAACTGGAGCGCCCTTGAAGACCATGTTCCTCTATAAAAACAGCCCTCAGGTGGTTCCAAGTTAGTTGGTGGGAGGGCAGGTAGTCTGACAAGGGCAACTCCGGGCTAGACAAGACGCCCGAGTTTTTCAGCCGCACCGCTCCAGGCCTCTAAGCCAGTTGACCGGTTGACCGGCCCAGCTGACAATGACACTTCTGGCTTGTCAAAGCTGTCGTCTCTCTGGGCTGTTCAAAACAAGATCCGATTTCCCACTATCCCTGTCAAACAAATTGGCCCCCCAAAAAAATGGTGGGTGTCCTTTTGGTTCCCTTCAAACACCACCAAAAACAGGGATACCCTCAAAAAAAGACAGACCCAAATCAACTAACTACCGTGGTCGCGGCCCCCCGTCGTGACCCAAGAAAGGATTGAGTTTGAACAACCCCAGCCGTCTTTGGCTTCTCGCCTTTGCGTGAGCATCTGTACACAACTGCTTCGCGCATAGCTACAGCACGTTCAACATGCCTTTACCAATCAGACAACAAAAGATTTGTCTTTTTCTGTGTTCTCAGAGCTGTCCAAAGGTCCAGCCGCTCACCGTCACCAGCGGTTCTCAGGGCAGTTAAGCCATTTGTCCGCAAATTCTGAAAGCTCATGTCATCGTCGCGCAGCTCTTGCGGTGGGTCGTCCGATGTGGCCAGCTGGATGCTTTCAGGGCGACAACCCATCCGGCTGCCCAAGACTTCCTTCATCTGGCCGACGGTGGTGAGAGGATGCACTTGCCTCGGCCAGACTCGAACTCAACTGTCACTGGAACAAGCAAAGGCAGAATAGAAAGGCAAATCGTCTTGCTGGTTCTCTGGAATGAGGGACTGACCCCGAGAACCATCCCCTATGGTTTCCTTGAAGGGAACCCCCAGGTTCATGAGCCCAAATGGGGTCATCTTTTTACTGAGAGCCAGCAAATAGTTCAAAAGCTGAACTTTGGACACGTCGCAGCTTCAGTTCTGTCCCTCCAAGACCGACATGCACAGGTATCGTCACGGCATCAGGCTCGGCGACCGAAGCTCGGCGCCGAAGGGATCCAACCAGCGCAGAGAGCATCCACCACGCGGCGGCGGCTATCAGGGCCGGGGCCCACAGCATCTGCACAAGTATCTCCCCCCCAGTGGATCCCAGTTTCCACGATAGTAGGTAACAAGACATGTGTTGAAAGGCTGGCAAGCCCTTGGTTACCTACAAACCCGAATCAAAAAGGGCCCTATCTGGTTTGCCTACCACCAGGTGGATGGATTTGTTTGAGGATGGCCAACATGTCCTCACTTCCTGAAAAAGCAAACATATTCCGAACAAGTGTCATGTCTAGAAGCTGACGTGAGTAACTCAAGTCCGAAAGCTGCGCTTGCGTCGGGCGAAACGAATTCGAAGGCGCTTGGAAGCGTTACATGTGTTGGTTGAAGCCTGTGGACATGATCTTGGCAAATTGGAACCACTCAGGGCCTTCATCATGGGTGAGCTCCTTATAACTTGCCCATATGCTTCACATGAAAATTCACATTTTGAAGGCGTGCCCTTTTGAAATTCAGCCAACAGACCCCCCCTCCCCCACACCTTGTGCAACACCAGGTGTTTTGAAGTTGCAAAACTCGGACCCACAAAGATTTACTTGAATATTGACATCAGAGAAAAAATGGGAGTCCACATCAGCTGGGCCCCGTTTTGTTTTTTTCTAGGTCCCATTTTCAGGCTCCGCTCCAGAAGGAAGGATTCCTCACTCTTAGAGGGTGTTTGTGTGTGTTTTTTGAGGGTACCCCCCTTTTAAGGGTTGTTGTGAGCCCCTTTTAAGGGTTGTTGTGAGCCCCGAACTCCGTTGGGGTGGTAAGGGGAACTACATGTCCTTTCGGGGTATCTTCAAATAGCTTCGAACTCAAACTGGTAGTGTTCCCTTCGGCGTTTCCCTTCAAAACCAACCAAACAGCTGACCGAAACAAAAAAAGAGCGAGAAGATGACCAAACCCCGCGTGCCAAGCCGCCTTGACCCGAAACCAATCCCAAGCCAAAGGGTCCCGCAGCCTAAACCAACGCGCGAACTCCGGAGCTCCGCGGTTCTTGGGGAACCACGACTTTTGGTGGGTTTCAAACAAAAACCAACAGGACAAACAGGCAATTTGCGGTGCCCCGATTTCAGACACCCCCAGATTCGGGATGTTTTTTTAGTTGATTTCCCTTGGTGAAAGCCAATCTTCCTTGTGGTTGAGCCACTGTTTCGTGGATCTCCAAAGGGAAGGTTATCCTTACACAGGACAAGCAAGGCCAAGGCCCGAACTGGCAGTGGCTCCTGACTTTTTGAGTTGGTGCCCCCTCTTTTTGGTGGTTTCGAAAAACCCGGGTGTGCCAGTCCGATTTTCCAAGAAACACAAATCCGGAGAAAAAAATAAAACACGACGGAATACTCACATGACCTGGATTTTTTCGCTCATAGAGTCATACTTTTGCCAATGATGTAATAATAGTACTACCGGTAGTAGTAATAGCACTAGTATTACCCACTTCCGGTCATACCGGAACCCGACTCATACCTCTCCCGTTCGCCTGCTGCCTGTTTCACCGGACTTCAAACACGACTCGCCTCGTTTCAAGTTGAAGGTCCCCGCTCGCCAGGCCGGGGCCATCGCTTGGCCTCAGAGCATTCACGGGAGATGGTGGCGTTCTTTTTTGGGGGACCCCAACCAGGGCCTGTTTTTTCGTCTGGTTTTGCCTTGAAAACCCACCAAAAAGGGCTTCCCCCCCCCCGCATGACTTGTTTCATATACCAGGCGTTGCACGAGCTGCGAACCACGACCCTGATGCAAAAATGGGGCACACGACCACTATCTTGGAACCTTAATATCACTGCTAGGTCACTAGGGAACCTCAAAAGCGGCCGGTTGCCTGAACCCCGAGCGGAAAGATGTACACCAAGGGTATCTAGTTAAACTTCTAGGTCCTCCAGTAGAGAGAGGTTAGAAAAAAGGGTACCCTTTTTCCAGTCCATTTTAGTAGTCAAAGGGCACTACCGGAAAACCTAGACTTCATGCCCCGGGTTTAGGGGAACGGCTCGTTCGGGCGTCTGGCGCAGCTCCTGTAAGCGAGCGCCTTCGGCCACTGCGCGGGTCTTCTTTGTGACGCTCGAAGTCCCCAAACTGATCAGTGCTGCCCTTGGATTCCGGAGTCAAACGCGGAGTGAGGCCACTTCAAGCATATGTCTCTTTCCGAACGGCTCAGATATCTGTGAAACCCGCTTGGAGGAAAGGATAGGAAGACCTGGCGCGGTTTAAACGCCGCCGTTTGGCGTTCAGGGCTCGAGGTTCTTGAGAAATCTGGCAGGAGATTCCTGAATTTCTTGGACATATCACATATTACATCACCTGCCTCCCTCCGTACGAGACAGTCCCCCGTCACCATCTTTTTCCCAAGAACCAGTTGAGAGAAGCCTTCTCCTTCACCCACCCTCCCAATATCAGGCATTACATTGGTGGGAAGGGGATTGGCGAGTGATCTTGTCCACTGGCTCTGTCTAAGAGATGAGAGGCGGTGGGTGATGAGAGAACAGATGATCACCACTCCAAGTCACCAACCGCTGCCTTCCTCGGCGAAGAGACTCCAGAGATGAAAGTATCTTGAACGCAATGCGGTTCATCTACTTGTCGGGGCTTGGAATCGCAGGCCAGGTTATTCCTCTCTCTCCCTCTCTCTCTCTCTCTCTCTCTCCCCTTTGTCTCTCTCTCTCTCTCTCACTTGCAATATCTTCACTCTTATCCTGGCATTACGCCACAGCGGCGAGTCCCAGAAGCAGAAAGAGAGGGACGGATGGAAAAATAAGTCCTCCCACCGCCGGAGCTTTTCACCAAACCTCGCCTCAGCGAACCCGCCGTGGTTTGTCCACCCGAACCTCCGGGCCGTCCGGCCGTCACGGCCGGACAAGCCGCTCGCCATGGCAAAGCCGGCGGATCGCCGGGAACTTGGGGTCCGGTTAAGGAAAACCGGACCCCCTATATCTTGGTTGACGTTGGGTTTGGGGAGCAAAAAAGTTCTAAAACCTTCGCAGTTAAGTGGATTTGGATTTAAACCAAAATCACAATAAACAAAAATGTAACATGTTTCCCAACGACAACCATGTATATGGGTTTGTCTCAAACTAGTTACCCCCTCCCCCCAAAAAAAACGGCTCCCTTTCGGGTTCCCTAAAAAGCTAGCCAACAACGGAAGCGGACAGAAAGTATGGGGAGACTAGATTCCTTTGGCGGGACCGGGACCTCTTGTTGGAAAGAGGCTATGTCCCCTTGAAAAAAAACAAGAGTTGAGACTCAGCTGCAATTGGTCCGTAGCGATGGTTTTGTCTTCTCACTTAAGGACAAACTAGAGTTCCCGTTGAAAAGGCTCGAAGCGTCTTGCAAGGGGTTCTTGGGAGGTTTGGGAATTATTCTGGTGGGCAGCGGGACGACCGCTCGGAATTGGAAACAGAGTCCCCTTTGCCAGCAGGTTGGGGTTTAAGAAGTGGGCTTTGGGTTACCTTTGACTTCGACGCCTTTCAAGTGGACTTTGCTGAAATCAGCACTGACATAAGGGACCCCCCTGAGAGAGGAACCCTTGATCATGAGGTCAAAAGCCTGAAGGGTCAAACGTAGCGGGGCTTTTGGTAGGCCCCTTCTTCTTGGAGTGCAAGAGGTGCGTCCCCTTGCAAAGTCTGGGGCCTTGAGCTGCGGCGAAGCTGTGATATCTGTGCCATGATCAGAACTCCTCATGTAACAGGAAATCAAGGGAAAGCAAGGGGAACTGAAAGGGAAATCTCAGGGAAAAGGAACAAGAAAATGAAGGGGGAACGAAGGGGAAATGAAGGGAAATGACAGTTCTGGGGAAATGAACGGAAACAAACGGAAATCTAGGAGGGAAATCACTGGACATGAAAAGGGGACATGCATTGGACATGAAGGGGAAAAGGACAGGGAAATGAATGGAAATTGAAAGGAAATGAAGTAGCCATGACGAGGAGATGATAGGAAATGACGGGACATAGAACGAGGAAATCAAGGGAAAACGAGTGGGATTTGAAGGCAGTAAAGCGACAATCAACGAATAAAGGGGTACTGCAGGGCAAGTGCACGGAAATAAAGGCAATTGGGGGGGAATAGCGCTGCAATGCAAACCCTGCCTCGGCTTAATGCAGGGGAACTTAAAACGCCTCGCAGAGTTGCAATGTCGGCAGACTGAGCCGAAGGCTCAAAAGTTTCAACAGCACGCCACTGATGTCGAACCCGGATTAATCAACTACAGTAACCAGTGACCCGTATCCCCTGTAAACTGGAACACCCTCACTAATCATCAACGATGTGGTTCGGTAATCGCACATTACTCTCATTCACAAACCGGAAGAAAAGAGAGAAACATGTTTCTTTTTTCAAAAAAGAAGAAGAAGACAAACATGTTTTTTGTTTAAAAACAAATCGAACAATGAACGAAGAAGAAAAAACAGTCCAGGAAAGGCACCTTCCTGGGTCATTGCCCAAACTCATCCCCTCCATTGGCCTCGGCATCACGGGCTGAAGGTAAACGTCAAAACATCCTCCGGACCCTTCAGCTCCCTGCGTATGGGTCAAAATCAGCCCAGGGAAACGCGCAGATTTTGGTCCACGTTCCATTTGCCAGGGCCCATTTTGAGCACCGATTTTTGACAGCCCTGTTCGAACGTCCACCCTTTTTCGCATGCCAACTTCGGATTCACCCGGAGACTGTGGTTCTCAAAACAATGTGGTGGACCCTGTGGCGAAAGTTTCTTTATGTTCCGGGGACCTCTCATGGCGTCATACGGAGTGTATTGCATCATGCTGCCAGATTCCCAGGATTGACTTGTCGGTCCTTCGGACTCACCCAACATGTGTGGCTCGCATCGCCGCAGCGCTCTTTTCGAAACATGGTCGACATTTGAAAGGCCGACTGAAACAGGCCGCCTCGATTGGATCCACAGCGCAAAGAAATGCATGTTGCTTGCTTGCTGTGTGTCATGTTTGCTCGCTCGCTCGCATGCAAGCACATCTAAATGACAATTGCTTGGTGTCATATTACCGCTGTCCTTCAAATGTGACCACCAAGATTTCCAACTCGCTTGGGCACGGCATGTGTCCTATTCTCAGGGTCAATATCCCGATCACCGATCACGCCAACACGGCCACAGCCAAGCTTTATGAGCACATGTGAACTATTGCCAAACCTAGGGATTCTGCGCCCTCTCAGGAACCATCGCCTTTTGCAAGAGAAAAAGGCAAAAGAAGCAACCGCAACCAGCCGGCTGAAAGCGACCGCAAAAAATCCGTCCTTTGGGCCGTCCTTTGGGCCTACAGAGTTGCTCCCAAGACCCGATCGGAGGTCATCTTCTGAAGGCTCAGAGCAACCCTGTCTCGACTCATATCTGGACAAATTTCATAAGCCGAAAGCAAGCACGCCACCAGTGAAGGACCGTCGTTCTGGGTGAGCTCAGAATATCCCCAGGCGAGGTTGCATGGATCCAAAAAATCCGCATTTGCAGAGGAATCTCCTTTAGGGACCCCCTTGCTAATTAGGCTCCATGTTGATCCATTTTCCCGGGGGGTGCGATTTGTCCAGAATCACATCTCAGCCGCGTCTTTCATTTCGCCGGGCTTCAGCCATAACTGGCTGTCCTGCGGAAACCGACCGAAACTGGAATACCAAACAAATCGGAGTTGAGGCCGATTACATGTTTTCCATATATGTACATGAATAGATACATGCATACAGATTTGCAGGCATAGATGTGCCTACGTAACTCTGTGTATGCCTATACAGCATATGCGTATATGATGTATATATATATATATATATGCGTCTCCGACCCCTAGGAGCCAACTTGCACCGCGTGCCACTGGGTTTGGGCTTCAAACTCCTGCCGCGAATGCCAATCCACGAGCGTTTTTTCCCGCTTCCGTCCTCATCTCTTTTAAGACGGGGCCCTGCGCCTGCCACGGATGGGAAGTGCCCAGCCAAGGAAGCCATTGACAATTGAGACTGCATCAAATCTTCCAGCTCATACCAGGATTTGGCCGACCAGTGCTGCATGTGCCTTGCGAGTACAATCAACGCAGCTGGCGAGTGCAAGGGGCAAGGCCACAAAGCGGCCGCTTGCTCGTCCCCCATTCGGCGAAGACAAGGCAAGCGTTGAGCCAGTGATGCCCCAGGGCAGGAAGCCGCTCGATGCGGGTGAAGCCTTGCGCCACTCGTGTGGCCCAGTCCTCCCGAGATCTGCAACATAAGTCGTGATACTTGTCCAGGATGACGAACGCAAACGCAACCGCGCGTGGCAAGCGGGTCAGTTTCCAACGACTCTGTCGATCTAGAAAAGGTTGCGGGTATGATCATTGAAGTTTAAACATGGGGTCATTGTGGAGGAAACGCTAGCCCATGTGGGTTGCGGAGAATCTGAACAGAAGTTCCCACGACACTACCCCACCCCACCCCCCCGTGAGCGGCGGTGGGCGCTGGTTGGTCAAACCTACATACATATGTTTATATATATATACGCCTTTGTATATGTATACGTATGTATAATGTGTATATATATATATATATATATATGTATATCATATGTGTACAATCACACATACATATACATATACATATACACATTACATATACACATTACATATACATTTACACATTACATATACACATTACATATACATGTACATATACATATACATGTACATATACATATACATATACAACCTTCACCCCCCTGCCCCCTTCTAAGTGACATGTTGCGGGTGTTGAGGTGTTGGTGGCAAGTCGGATGGGCATTTGCAAAGTTACTTCTGAACCTCGAATTAGAACAGGAATGCCCTGAGCGAGAACCACATCAATCAGTTTGTCCTAAAGAATGGCTGCATAATTCTTATGGGTAAAGACTTGAAACGAGCTTGATGGAAGATCTCCAAGATGCCGAACATCCGCAAGTCCCGCGGACTGCAAAGTGTGTCCGGGCCAGGGTTCAAGGCTCCTCAGCAAACTCTTTCCGGGATTCTTGAAACTTCAACCCAACGGGAACATGTTGATGTGGCTTTTTGTGGGGGCACAAGAGGAGTATACTTGGAGTTGACCTTTTGCATCCTGTTTTGTGAAAATAGCATGTAACACAGGCAAGAAGGGTACCACCTTTCCTGGGTCCAGCGACTTTGCCAGTGGCTCGGAAGCAGATACTGTTGTTGACAATGCCATCTAGTGTTCCTTCGTCTGAAGCTGCGAGGGGCATTAGGCGTTACACCATTGTCTCGTATTGTAAACTTGATGACTCAGCGAACTCCAAAGGGAACACTACGAACGGAGCCTACGCTGATTTCAGGCAGCGGAGAGCCGCTATGCACCCCTTACCGCGCAGCACTCGATCCAATTTCGCGATTGGTAGTACTTTCTCGCGAAGCACATCGTAGCCACTCTGCGACGTGGCGAAGACAAAGTCGAAGCCTGCTGCCAACTAGTCCTCGGGTCCACAGGTCTTCCAAGTATTCGCAGGTTTGCCGCAGGTGTATGTATGTATGTATGCATGTATGTATGTATGTAGGTAGGTAGGTATGTAATGTCTGTATGCACATGCATGCATGCATGCATGTATGCGTGTGTGCATGCATGGATGCAGGGATGCATGCATGGATGCATGCATGGATGCAGGGATGCATGTGTGTATGTATATATATATATATATGTCGGTCGGTATACCTGTATGTCTGTATGTCTGTATGTCTGTATGTCTGTATGTCTGTCTGTCTGTCTGTCTGTCTGTCTGTCTGTCTGTCTGTCTGTCTGTCTGTCTCTGTGAGTCTGTCTGTCTGTCTGTCTGTCTGTCTCTCTCTCTCTCTCTCTCTGTCTGTCTGTCTGTCTGTCTGTCTGTCTGTCTGTCTGTCTGTCTGTCTGTCTCTCTCTGTCTCTCTCTGTCTCTCTCTGTCTCTCTCTCTCTCTCTCTGTCTGTCTGTCTGTCTGTCTGTCTGTCTGTCTGTCTGTCTC